GTACTCGGATCGGATAAATAAAATACTTAATCGCTAGCAATGTCGAGTTGACAGTGCCCAAACGTTGTCAGACTCCAACCAGGGTACTCCAACCAGGGTACTGTTTCTCGCTTGTTTGGTGTTATCACCATCAGATGATAGATCTCCAAGGTCTTTTCCGCAGTAAAGACTCATTTGTTCTCCTCCATACTCTACAAGCCTATCCAATGGAATAACACGAGGATTTTTGATCATAAGTATCAGGTTTGAAGAGTAAGAACTGACAAGCGAATGTTAAGCTAAAAGGCCAGAGATACGCTGGATCCTCAACGTTCTGGCAAGTTGAGCCCTTCCAAAGCACGAATGGGAGGGTCTGGTGAGAATTCAAAATTTGTTCATTTTCAATGAGGCTTCACAGACGTATACAAGACGAAGAGACAATAACTTTCAAGCTCTCTACAACGACATTATGTTTCCCGCGTCCTACCAAACACGCCTTTAGTCGAACAGAAGCAGGATGCTTGGTCACACTGAGACTAAAATCCTATGCAGAATTTCGGGAGAACTGGGGAAGTTCGGAATCAGCGTTGTTTGCGTCGGTAAAATTGGCTCCACTTGGCGGCGAGCGTCGGGTCCAGGGCGTAGGGTTGTTGCTCAAAGAGACATCATATGGGGCTCGAATAACGGACATCTTGTGAGAGGTGGAACTTCAAGGCATTCGCGTGGTCGGATTATGCTAATCCAACTAAATCCGCCGCTTCAGATAATATGATGATCCTCCGAGTATGGCAGATCTACCGGTTACCCTTTGCAACATGAGTGATATCCTGTAATGAACCCTGCCCTCAGCCCAGGATAAAAATAGTATCTGCTCCGCCAGTAGCATTGCTAGCGCGAGACTCGCTATTCATTAATAAAAGCTTCAGTCGTCTCGTCATGTGGCCATAACGGAAGTTATGCCAGGAGGCGCCAGATTCTTTGAAATTTCTCCCTCTACTCTCGCGAAAGACACGTCGAAAGATTATGTCTCTCGCCTTCAGCTCCTCCTTCGAGAAATTCATTATCGCTACGTCGCTCCCCTACCGCCTTGTACGGACTTCCTCCATTCCCATCACAGCTGGATCCACAACACCCTCGGGCCTATGACATCCTGGCCTACAAGCCAGCTCGATATCCTCGAAGAGACAACCTTCACTATCGCTGAAAGGTCTTACCCTTTTGCCGACATTGAAATGAAAGCTATCATAGCAAAGCTTACCGCCCTGGCCTTTTTCATTGACGACTCATTAGAAACCAACACCGCTGGAATATACGACGAAATAGGAAGCTTTGCGTATCATGTCTTGATGGGCGAGTCTCAGCCATCTGCCATACTTGAACTCTACCACAAATGCATAAAAGAGCTTGCGCAACTGTACGAGGGAGACGCAGTGCTACGAGGTTTAGCCACTGCACCCTGGTTCAATTACATCGATGGCTGTCTCTTGGAGAAACGTCTGCTCACCATGGACGCTGCGCTACGTGCGAGTCCCCATGATATGGGGTACCAGAATCTTGTAAAGCAACGGCAAAACAGTGGAGATTGTGCTGCTCGAGACACTTCGCCAGGAGCTAAGGTTCACTTGTAAGCGGATAGGAAAGTCTCTGTCCGTTCAACTATCGCTCACTTGTTAGTTTTCAGTCCACTTTTTGTTCGTCGCAAAACGGGCGCCGGAGAGGCATATGCAGCTGCCATATTCAAGTCGACGAAAGGTCAAGAATTACCATTGTCCCGATATATTATGGCAATCCCTGACATGGCCTTCTACGTTGTAAGTATGCCTTGTTAACCTGATTCACTTGGCCGCTTACGGTTTGCATTAGGTGGCCGTGAACGATGTGCTCTCCTTCCATAAGGAGGAGCTAGCCGGTGAAACGATCAACATGATCCACCTACAGACACAATCATTTAGGGAGTGCACGGGCTCGGGTGCATCTGGGAAGTGGACAGTATTGGATACATTCAATCTCCTCTGTAACGAACTGAGGGACGCAACATACAGGATCGACGAGATTTTGAGGTTGCATGATTGTGAGAGAATAGTAAAGGAGGGAATGGATAGTAGGGACATGGGACTCTCAGACGTTGATGTGACGATCGCGCTTCAGTGGCGAGGGTTCAGGGACGGGTATATCTCATGGCATCTAGAGTCACAGAGGTACAAGTTGGACTTCCTGCGGTCTAAAGAATTCGAACCGAATTAGCATGTACTGTCAGGTACATCTACTGCAATTGTAGCGACCTAGCTTATACCACAAAGCAAAGCATATATTGTCCCTGACTGCACATATTTTTCGTACCACATGGTACCTGGTCCTTGATTTCCATGCTTATAATTTTATGATCTTCTTGACGGCCTGGCTCTTGCACGACTCGTGTCTTTTCAGTCATGAAAGAAAACACCAATGTAATCACTTATCACTCAGCCGTGGAAGTGTAAGTCCATCGACTAGAAGAGCAGATATCCCGGCATCATCACTGTTATAGAACCACGCAGTCAACGCCTAAGGAGGGTTATCGTTAGTTTGCAAGCTTGACAAAGGCGTGTATTTATTCTCACTATTCATCACATAAAAAGATACCATCGTAACCCCTTCGGTCCAGTTCGCTGTCATGTAGCTTACTGAAAAGCATGCACCAATAAGGAGTATGCCCTCGAAACGATCTGTAGTGGCAAAAGGTAAGACGGAAGGAAAAAGAAACGGAGCAAGAGTTACAATCACTCACTGAATAACAAAAACATTGGTCTATCATTGAACCACCCCACCTCTGAAGCAAGCACAGGAATCCAAAAGAGATTGAACTGGATCTGCGTGTCGATGGAACATGCCTTTGCAAGGACGAGCGCAAGTATCGGTTGACCTCGATAACTCAGAATGAGATCGTAGAAAGTGACCAATGGCTGAAAGAACATTTGCGCTGAATGAAGCGAGTGGAAGGAGGATGAGCTTGAACCATCTGTATTGCAGAACAATGGCTGCTATTTGATGTACTACGACTGTATTCGTATACATGTCAAGATAAATCCATACTACCCGTGACAGATAGAACTAGTGGAATGAAGGTGTTGCTTGCAGTCTGGACCTGAGGGATAAAGAAGCCGGGTAGACATAGAAAAGGAGGAGAAGGGAAAAAAAGCGAAGACGAATAGCTGTGTAAAAGGGAGGGGTTGCTTCCAGAAGAGACTGTGGAACATTTAACCGGGATCCACGGTCAAATCGTAGAGAACAGGCTTCCTGCAAAGTTCTAAAAATCTCAATAAGGCCCCCGGCTGTTGTTACACTGATGGTCCGACCCGAGTGACAGAGCGAGAGTTGGGTCCACAAGGTTCATCTTCACGGACTTGCCTTGGAAAATTAGAACTAGATGCTGAGTTCCGCTCCTAGCCCATTGTACGTCCATCGCAGTCCTCGTAAATTTAGGCGACTGGCGGTCCATTGCGAGTGTGTCAAGATCAAGTCAAGATTTATCATTTTTGTCGTACAAAGTTATCGACACCAGAGACAGACCTTTTCATCTGGGGTTCACTTACCCAAGGATTGGTATTAAAATATTGAATATTGAGGCCTGAAGCTGAAGCGCTGAAGGCCTGATGACTGAGGACGAAGAAGATTTCGGATGACGTGAAATGAAGGCGCTTATACTTTAGCGCCAAGATTAACTTCTTGTCCCGGTCCGTCCGTGACTCAGTAAAACTCTGCTGGACGTTTATCGAGACGTAAAGCTACAAATGGTGGATTTAGAACTTGGGAGTGTGTGCGTCGCGTCGCTGGAACATTGCTGAGTTTTATCTTCCTGAAATTAGATACTGGCTTCAAAACGGAATCCGGGATGACATCAATGACTTTTGACGAGATACAACTGTAGTTGCATTTGCATCACAGTCGTAGAGCCCATGGCTTTGAACCATCACCATCACTAGAAGAACGACGGCTATTGCGTTGGAATCCGCGTCAGGAGCGGCGCCACGGGGCCACCAACCATTTCTGTACTCAAAGCACCGGTGCACCAACACCCACGGCTTCCCGCTCAGTTCAAGGCTCTCCGTCATCGTCCGCGCCCTCTCCTCGACGATACCAATCCCGTCGCAGAACGTATCTGTTCATTCAAATTTCAAACATTCACGCGCACTCTCTCTTCATTACTCATTTTTTCCAGCGCCACCAGACCTCCTCACTCTCTTCCCTCAACGTTCAACGTAACCACGGGATTCAATGATCGCTCAAAACTTGTCCACCCAGTCCTGTTACAACTTTACCCTCACGATGTTCACTCGCAAGGCTTTAGCTTTAGTACTTTAGTGCTTTTTGCAGTTTTGGGCGCGTTGGATTGGTAAAAAATACCAGTGAATCCGATGCCTTTTCCGACGTGCGCTAGCGCTCACCTCTCCTTCACCTTCACCGGCAACCTTCGTCATATCGGGCACCTGCAACCCGCCCCTCGGGCTCGACCGTTGCACCAGCATCATGTCCGCCTTCGCCTCTGCCCTCTCATCCGACTACACCACCAATTCGAGCCGAATGCAGCGGCGGGTACGGGTGTGGGAGGGTGGGGTTCTGAAGCGATGGGGTTGCTTTGGGGCTTCCGTTATTGGGTTTTGCAATTGGAACAATGAATCTGGTAGAGATATTTTTATTTTTATCTTTGGGATTTGGGGTCCTGTTTGTTTGGATCTAGATCGCTAACTGCTCTCTTCTCCGTATTGTTCGCCCCAGTACTGTTATCTTGGCATCCCCACCTTATATCGTGTAACTTATTCATGCTTCGAGGGTCTTAACTCGGTCCTGGAAATATCACGGAGGTTTGTTTTTGCATTTATGGATTTGGGTCGGAGGCGTGGGACGGGAAGATACTCAAGCACTCGGTCGCGTATCTAATACAATACCGCCTCGAATCCAGTTTCAAAGCTTTCAAGGTTAAACCCTTCGTGGTTGATGTAACGAATGCTTTCTACAGTGGTTACACACGGAAAACCCTACATGGGCATATGGTGTAGGGGTTATCACGTTCGCTTTGCATAATTCGACACTTTAGGGGCTGCTTCCACTTGCTCTGCGAAAGGTCTCCGGTTCAAATCCGGATTTGTCCATTGATTTGTTACACAAGACATCTGCTCTGTTTTGGCTGCCTGCTTTTACTTATTTCTCTTCGGAGGGAGCTATAACTATATTGATTGCTTATATGTTTGCATAAGGAGCCACAAATGATATTCCTTCCTTTCACAAGGAGGAGCTCCAGGAAGGAAGGAAGGAAGTCAATTACTTGGCACGGTCCAAGTTCTAAACGCCTTGGGGCAGCCAAATTGAAAAAGAGTGTCGATACATTCAACCACCTCTGCAACGAAGTGAGAGATGCCATATACAGGATCAACAAGATTTTGAGGGTGTAGGACTGTGAGAAAATAGTAAGGGACACATTGGATGTTAAAAGGCGGTATGGGACAGTATAGGACTCTCAGAGGTTGCTGTGGCAATTGCGCTCTGATGACGAAAGTTCAAAGATGGGTGTATTTCATGGCATATACAGTAGAGACACCGAGGTCCAAGTTGGGCTTCATTCGGCCTGAACAGCCCCAGATGGATTAGTGTTTGACGCCGAAAGGATATTCTGTGCATCTGTTACTTACAACTTGACTTCCTGGTGATAACTTGGGCGGAATTTCCGTACTAAAGTTGAACGAGTGACCTTATGATTTTCAAACACACGATAACGATGCCATGGTCCCTTTTGGCCAGTTTGTCTTGTAGTCTCGCTTGCGACTTGGACAAGTGAAGGCGCTGGGCAAGCGCTGGGTGTCGTTGACAGCACAGCCCAATGGGATCAGATGAAGCGGCCGATAGCTAGGAAACCGTCTACACGGAATGAGGCGAGTGTTGAAGGAGGATGAGAGGCCGACCTGTAGCTGTAGCGTAGTACGTCAGGCTCACGCACCACTAGTTTCGTCAAGTTGTTGACACTTGTTAATGACACCCCTCCTCCAACACAGTTATACGTGAGTCTCCAGGCTCCTTTGAGCTGAGGAGTCCGGACGTCCTCATATATTTGTACCTGGTATTTTAACTATTCAGATAACGCGGAAATTTATAGAACCTGGTCCTTGTGAAATTGTATGCTCAAAGCGACCGATCTTGTGATCTTTTTCACGGGTTCTTGATGGTTCGTTTTGGCTCTTGCACGGCTCGGCGTGTTTTTAGCTACGAAAGAAATTCGGAAGTAATCCGCTCCGCGCTTGACTCAACCCCCGCTGCTTTCATGTTAACTTGGGGGTGGAGAAGCGCATTCTTCAAACGATACTGGCAGCACGGAATTAGCGATCTGTGAGAGGAAACCTGTGGGATCGAATGACGGACATCCTGTGTGAGGCGGGGAAAGGGAGTGTGTGAGGCGAGTTAAACATGAAAGACCCTCAACAAAAACAAACTCGACATTGAATTCTGCCAGTGTGTTGAGACTTTGAATTTTCTAGAAGAACATGCATTGAATTTATTCGGTCAGGCCTTGCCATTTGCAACACACGACAATATCCTGTAACGAAGTTTGCCCTATATAAAAATAGTATCCGCTCCGCCAGTAGTATCGCTAGCGCTAACACGCCATTGACTATAAAAGGCTTCAATCGTATTGTCGTGTTACCATAACAGAAGTCATGTCAGGAGACGCTAGATCCTTTGAAGTTCCCCTCTCTGCTCTCGAGAAAGACACATCGAAAGACTACGTCTCTCGCCTCCAGCTCCTCTTTCGCGAAATTAATTTTCGCTATGTTGCCCCCCTACCTCCTTCTACGGACTTCCTCCATTCCTATCACAACTGGATCCACAACACGCTCGGACCTATGACATCCTGGACTACAAGTCAGCTAGATATCCTCGAAGACACGACCTTCACTATCGCCGAAAGGCCTTACCCTTTTGCTGACATCGAAATGAAAGCAATTATAGCGAAGCTTACTGCCCTGGTCATTTTCATTGACGACTCGTTGGAAACAAACACCGTTGGAATATACGACGAAATTGGAAGCTTTGCGCATCATCTCTTGATGGGCGAGTCTCAGCCATCTGCCATACTCGAACTCTACCACAAATGCATAAAAGAGCTTGTGCATCTTTACGAGGGAGATGCTGTGCAACGAGGTTTAGCCACTGTGCCCTGGATCAATTTCATCGATGGGTGTCTCTTAGAGAAGCGTTTGTTCACCATGGACGCTGAGCTACGTGCGAGTCGCTATGATATGGGGTACCAGAATCTTGCAAAACAGGGGCATAGTGGGATAGATCATGCTGCTCGAGACACTTCTCCAGGGGCTAAGATTCACTTGTAAGCCAATAGGAATGTATCTGTGCGTTCGAGCATTATTCACCTGTTTGTTTTCAGTCCACTTTTCATCCGGCACAAAACTGGCGTCGGAGAGGCATATGCAGCTGCCGTATTCAAATCGACGAAAGAACAAAGCTTGCCATTGTCCAGATATATCATGGCAATCCCTGACATGAACTTCTACATCGTCAGTATGCCTTTGTAACCGTGATGACTTGTTGGTGGCTTACAATTTGCATTAGGTGACTGTGAACGATGTGCTT